TTTTGCTGTGCCTGTTTTCTTAGCTTCTTATGTAATTTTCCTGGCATTTCTCCCTTGTGCCTTCATTTTCTGGACTTTTCAATGTGATGCAATGGAAGCAGTGTGGTTCTTATCTTTAAATTGCCTGTTGTCCCCCTGTTGATTTTGCTGTAACCTGTACTGGAAAAGCATCACCTGTGAACCTGGGGTCTCATTTATCAACCACGTGTATGCACAGTTTTGTACATGAACCATGGATTTCACTGAAGTAGTACCACTGTTTGGTTTTCTGCAGTGCTTAAATTTACTATCACATAAAGTTTTTTTTTTTATTTCCTTCTCCCTATTCCAGATCTTCTTTACCTCTGGGATCATGTTTTTCCCAAGATTTGTTGTTATTGTTGTTGTTGTTGTTTTTTTTTTAACATTGTGCCTCAAAAAGTAATGAATGAATTTTGATGAAATTTTTTTTTAAGAGGTTGGGTATGGCCCACGGAACAATTGATTAGATTTTAATGTCAATCCATATCATATTTTAGATACATTGATATTTTAAAAGATTCTTCATCATTGTGAGTGCTGGAAAGGCTGATAACTGTATTTGAGCCCCCTTGTGGTCAAGGTGCTCGGCTGTGCTGCTGAGCACTCAGCACATTCAGAGCCAAAGCTTGGTTAATGACAGCTTCCCATTCATTGTCAATGAAAACTCAGTGCTGTCACTCAGTCCACCCCGCTGTGTGAGATGATGACTGAAGGAGGCCAGTGAGACGACAGCCCACAGCTGGGGACAGATCTACACTGTGCAATGATAGTCAGGCAAGAACGTGATGGATTTTAAGTCAGACTCAAAGCTGTTATCATTTTCACCCATAGGACTGGTATTATACCATTTTATTAAGTTTTGACGTTTTCAGGTGACACTTTAGACTGAGAATATGTGGTAGACCATCCAGGTAATGCCCATTTAGAACTTCTTAGGAGTTGTTTATCTGTTTAGTTTATCTGGCCAAGCTAGGTCTGTTAGCCAGCAGTTACATCTCGTTCAGAGTACAGTAGAGTGTTGGGAGGACGCCAGTGTTCCAGCTGCACATTAACTTTATAGCTGTGTTTCCACCTAATGGGTGGTACACCCCATGCTTTCCATAACCGTCACCCAACATAACCTCACGGGTTGATGCAAACCGTCCTACTTTGCTTTTCCACTATGTTTTGTGCTGAATTGGCTTCTGTTTAGAGGAGTGAGGGTCTGCTACACATTGTTTTTCTTGAATAACCTTCAAACTAATAATGATATCAAAATCATAGCAAATGCCAGCAGGAGGGTTTCCTGGTCAAGCAGTCATACTATGAGGGTCAAACTATCCGTGGGAAATTTGCTTTTATGTATTTATGGAGAAAGTGAGTTGCCCCAGGACAGAGTTCAGCACTCTGAATGCTGTCTGGTTTTATTTATTTATTGACAAGTTATTACAAACAGTTTTCATATCCAGATCTGTTAACACCAACTCTCTAATGGCTTTAATTGCAACTGAAATTTTTGTAATGTGTTTGCAGTCCTGATCTTTTAGCTGAACCTTGTGATACCTAAAGCCTTCTTTCAAATAATAATCAAATACCGCTGAAAGCCTATTCTGGACATGGTATTCACAAAAAAAAAAAAAAAAAATCCCCACTTGCCCCACTTTGGGGCAGTCTTATTTCTTCCTTCAAGCTCGGTTCTCTACCAGCAGGGCGTAGGTGTTAATCACCCGAACTTTGTTCAGCTGTTTTAGTTGAAGTTCATTTAGCACTGTGGTGGTCTAGGGATTCTCAGCAATGAAATGAGTATTTGTCAAGAGAGAGCAACTGGCATCAGCATTTCATCAAACCACAATTTAGGAGAGCTTAAAAAATTGTGCTTACCTCATCACACACGGTGTAGCTACTGGAAATGACTACTTGTATGACAGCAAATGAATTATGGGAAACATTGCAGAGCACATGATAAAATACAGTAACACCAGTAACAATGCAGGAAAACACTTTAACTGAGACTTATGTCTGTACATTCTGGAAGCTTTCACACACTCCTGCTCTTGTACTACCACAGTGCCTTAACCTCACTGTCTGTGATGGCGCTGACCATGTATTGTATTCTTGTGGCGTGTTGGTATTTAAACGAGCCTCTTCAGCACATGAGCAGCTGGATGCAGAACAGGTGAGATTTATCATGGTTCACTGTCGTGCATGTGCATCTTTGATTAAAGCCGGCTTTCTTGTGCATGCAGACCGTTTGCACACTTTTAGTTCAAGACTTGCTGTGATAAATGAGGACCCTGGACAATGCACGACAGAGGCAGAGTGAGTATACAGTATAAAATGGCTTTAGCTGTTATTAAGGTGGTTTGTGTAGGAAAGACATGGCCACTGACACACACACACACACACACACACACACACACACACACACACACACACACACACACACGCACGCCAGCTACAGACAGTAACCCGGACAGATAAGTGTGGACCTGAGCCAATATTCCCATCAGAGGATTAAGCGGGATGCTTACAGTGGACAGTTTGGAGATCCAGCTTGCCAACATGGCAGACTTTTAAAACTGGATTAAATGTGTGAGGGGAGGTGGGGGAACTGAGACAGCAATAAAATTAGGTGCATGGGGTGAGAAGAACTATTTTCAGTCAGGCAGAAAACAGACATTATTTCTAAAGGCATAGTTTTGAGAAATATGTGTATCTGCTCACTTGGTAATGGTTAAAGAAGAGGTTTAATACCATTCCTATATCTGTCAATTAAAATTTAAATCTACCATCAGAAGCTAGTTATCTTAGCTTAAAAAAATCTGCCTACCAGCACCTGAAACTGAAGTAATACATTATATCTCAGCTGTTTAATAAATGAAACAACAATGTCATTCATCAGTTCCTTCTGAAATGTATCAGTTTTAACATAAAAAACATGAACATGACATCAGTAGACCCCAGTCTATTAGAAAACACTGTAAAAGCTCACTGAGCCAATAGTCAGGTGTGTGTGTGTGTGTGAGAGTGAGAGAGACACCATTTTGCTTATTGATTAATTAGACCGTGCTGCTTGCATGGGTCTCCTCATTAGGCTCATTAGGGAACTCTGGGATCATGAATATAGAGACAGTGGAGTTTTGGGGACAAATGGTCAAGTATTGTTTAATGTCCCATTCATACACTGGGAACAGAGGCGCTCTTCTGGGGATAAAACAAACGCTTTGAATCCAGCAGCAGCAGTGTGTTTAGAATAACAAGTCTGAGACCTGTTCAGCGCACAGGCTTATTTAGCACTCATTCCTAGCTAAATGCAACACATACAAACACCTACTTAGCATTTAGATATATACAGTATGTTTGGGTGTGTATAGATTACTTTAGTTAGTTTGGCTCTGTTGGCTTTACGGTCCTGGTATTGTGTGTGCTGGCTCATCTCAGTTCCCTTAGTTACTGTACATCCATGTTTCCCTCACTTGAGTCTTTTCCTTGGGTCTTAGTCCTTAACTTGATGATGTGAGGAGACGTGCAAGGACAGAGGAAATG